TCATTGAAGACAACGCTGTGTACGGAGTGCGGACCTTACTTATGACCTACCGTCACCTAGGAACGCCAGAAGCCTGCACCGAAGCAGTTACCAAACACCACAGCTTTTGGTATGCAGCGAACTGGCTGGTGTTTGGATACTTTGAGGCCTGGCTACCTTCCCCTAACTTGTTTTGTAGTCAGCTGAGGAAGCTTTGTTGTTGCGTTATTTCGGCGAAATTTCAGAAATCTGGAAAAATAACCACTGAAGTGGGTGCCAATCACTCCCGTGAATATCAGCGGCCTGAAACTGAGCACATTTTTTTTTTAAATATCACCAAGGTGAGATCTTCCCTCTTAGTCTCGTTTCGTTTTTTGGGGGAAGCCAGTAAGCATAGCCTGCAGGGCCCTTGCCCAGCGTATCTAAACAATTCACCACTTGCGATGGGCACAGCAGAGATATAACACCTCAGGCACTAGCTCTACTCAATGCAACATTAGTAAAGGCAGTATTCTCAGTAGGGAATAGGCCGCACAAGTACCGGGCTAAGAAAATTGACGTTTTTATGTCCTTTCGGAAATTCTCTTATGAGGTACTTAGAGATTGTGATCTACCAATAGTCAACGATATCGGAGCATCTACGTTCTACGTGATGAAATTAAGCACGATTCCAGTCACTGCTGGATATGCCCTCGAAGAGTCGAAGCTGCCGCTGATTTTCTTAGTGCTATGTCTCGCATTTTGCTTCGTCACACTCGTTGTTACAGACTTATTAGATGCTACGACATCTGAGATAACCGTGGCTAACGATGCCATGCATTTCATAGTTGCGACGTTCTATTCCGACGTCTTGTGATTTGCAAACCTCTGCTCGATTCTGCACGAGTCGCCGATTTGTCGTTATACCGTGGGTCCTGGGCAGCTTCTCCCTTTCGGTGTACTTTAAAGGAGAGCTGACTTCGTGGCTGGTCTCTCGCACACCAGAAATCATCATGGACGATTTTATTAAACTCGAAATGACCCTGGACGCTCACACAATTCGACCATGGTCTACTCGAGACATACCGCGCAGGCTGACCGTTTTTGATTCGCAAGACAACTGAGTTCTAAGCAAACTCATGCGGTCCCTCGGTCCGCAGACGGAAGCGACCACGATAAAAGACGGAATGAAATGCGCTTCAAACAAAGGCCGGCTGTGCTTCGTGATAAGACAGTTGCCGGGCTACATGCGCGCCACCTACCCCAGAGTGACCGAGTCAAAGGATCCGCTTTTGCGTACCTATGCCAGTGTACCTGTGCGGAAACACTACCGTCTCGGGATGACCTTTCGGTCGATCGTTCGAAGATTCTATGGGACGGATTGGTTCCACATCGCTAACATCGACTGTGAGGTCTCTCAGCCGAAAGAGAGGGTGAAACCGGCACCGGAGATGCTGAATTTGCTCTCGTTTGCGCAGTTTATATTGCCGTGTTTTGGTGTGTCAGTGTTTGTGCTATGTTTATAAGTGTTCTTGTAACGCTGCATTGTTCTATGTGCTGCGAGATTGACCAGAGTACGGTAGTGTAAACATTATGGAGCAGTGGTGAGACTTGGCGTTCTTGAACACATTTTTGCAAGTGCATTTTAGCTATTTGTTGTTTTTTGGCCCAACCCCTTTCAGTTACCGAATATAACGAGTGTTCTGTCACCCGAAGCAAAGCCGCGGCTGTCTGATTTTATAGAATGCTTTGTGTGCTGCAGCGTTCGTGACGAATACGTGTTTTGTTGATGAAAGCACTCTGGCGCGACACACTGAAAGTTCATACATATATCTATATATGAAGTAAAGGCACTTAACAATGCGAACTATAGATTTACTTTATCATTGCAAGACATTTTGTTTCGTGTTTAGTGTCTAACTGAGGCAAAGAGCAGGAGACTTAAGCGACCGTCCAAAACACGCTTGATTATTCGAGTTGACTTGTTTTTGTTTTCTTGAATTATAATAAAAAGACTTATTGGAAATAATTGCATCGCTTTCTTTAATTTTATTCTATGTCCCTGATGTTACTACATGTTAGATATCCTACTAATTTATGAACATTTTTATCTTCATGAACCAAGCCCCGCGTCTTCAATCCTGAGAAAGAAAATTGCAGTTATGTTTAGATGCTTTCGGTTGCTTGACGCAGGAGCATTGCTGTTTTAAGAAATTAGTGGGACCTATCTTGCTTCAAACGAAAAAGACAACATCAAACAGTAAAAAGAATATAGGTTTTACAACTAACACATACGAATCTATCCAAAGCAAAACAAACTCGAAAACTTGGATATATTAGCTCTTGTGTACACAATGTGTCGAAAAGTATTTGAAAGTTAGAAAAGTAAGGATTTGTATTAGAAAAAAGGGACAAGCACATAAAAAGTTACAGGAAAACGTAAAAAAGAGAAATTGGATCCACCTTCAACAACAGTGCTGCATACTTTCATGCTTAGTTCAGACAACCAGGATTTCGCTTGGCTTATAAAATTTCGGTGGTAGCTGCAGCGACATTTGAGCTCTTATTCCCGGACGCCATTTAGCAGCGTAATGTTCTTCGAGACGTCACTTATTACGTTGGTTAAAAACGTTTTATGGTCGATCACTGATATAATTACTAACAACGCTCGCTGTGTTTCGAGTTTCACTGACATGCCGTTTTTTGTCGTCGACAGCTTAAAAATCGCTCGGTATTATGTTCACATTGTTTGCTTCTAGATTTGTTTCTCGAATTCGTATCGACAGAATGCGGAAACATCATTGGTTGCACAGAGATAATGCCCTGCGCTTCTGAAATTGTTGCTGACTATGCGGAGATAAACTTAGGGAGAGGAGGAGATGAGAGCATGTTGTGACGTCAGCGCACCCAGTTACGACGTTAAGGAGAGTGGGTTGACGCCAAGCCTGGCTGTCTGTATCTCTGCTCACTCGAATGCTTCCAATCAGAGCGAACAAGAGCGTCTTTTGGTTCTCGCGCCGTGTCTCACGTTCGAACGCCGAACACCAAACGCCCGGTCTGGCGTACGAACGCCCGCCGTGACTGAAGTACAAACACCGACTGTCAGACTTTTTCGGGGAGCAGTCTATGCGCCTGTTCGCGTGTGATTGAAGGGAAATAATGGGCAGAGATAAAGACAGCTATAGCCTTTGTGTCTCTCCACTATTCCATCCAATCAGAGCTCTTCCGTCCCCCGCCCTCTCTCATCACTTCGTTTTCCTAGGTTTTTCAGTGTACAGAGAAGACGCAGCAGAAATATTAAGAAGCGTTAGTGAGTTTTAGTAATACGTATAGGGGCAAACGTAAACCCCCTACGTTAGCTTTAACGTTGCGTCGACGGAACGTTACGGAGCGCGCCGAATACGCACTTTTAGTACAGCGGAAGAAGAACGCACACGTGAAGACTTGTAGCGCCATCTAGATGTGCTCCTGTAAACTGCTTCAAACAATCCAAGGCGGGTATTCGGTCAAGCCAAACCAAAGCCCCTATTCTCTTCGCTTTGTTACGGAAGTGCGTGTTTCCGTGTGCCTGTTGTGTACGTGTTTTGTCTTCTTTTTTTTTTTTTTGTACCGACCGCACGGTAAACATTTTTTGGGGTTCGACGGTGTCGCCAATGTTCTTGGCTATCCACACCCATCTTTGTGAGTGCTCGAAAGGGTTCGTCGCGTTGACTTTTTTAAGGAGGCTCATATCATCTTCAATGGTAAAGCGAACCCGTACAATGCTATGGTGTACTAGAACACCATAACAATGCGCGTAGTACTTCCGCTGGTTTGCCTCACCGCCGCCATTTTTCAAACTGGACTAGTCTCGCGCTCTTCCGTGCGCGACGAGAGCAACGAGAGGCACGCAGGGAACCGCTACGTACATTCGTAAAAATCGATAGCGAGCTCTTCCGCAAGGTTCGCCGAACTACGTACGTATGGCGCATGCGCAGTGTGGAGTACGCAACGTTAACGTTAACGTATGGGGTTTGCGTTTGCTCCTATACGTATTACTAAATCTCTCTATTAATAGACAGTTTTACTGGACCGTACGCTAGAGCTTTGCGCACGCAAGGAAATTGCGGGTCATGGATGCGCATGCGCAGAAAGCAATAGACGGGCTAGCGTATTGCGTACGCACGTAACGCTGGGGATTTTGCGTTGCGGGTAGCGAGCTTTCCGGGAAGCTCTCTAGAGATCTCGGGCCCTGCAAGACCGCCAGTTTCAAGATGGCGGTTACCTCGACTGGCGCAGCAAGGGCGCGTGTTGTTCTCAAAGTTCTGTGTTACGTGAAATTGCGAGGTGTTCAGCTCGGTAATTTTTTCCGGAACCTACCGCGGTCGAATCAGATCGTCGTGCAGTTGAAGGAGTGCACAGTGAAAATGTTCAACGCTCGCAATGTGCGTCAACGCTGCGATCTGCTCAACGCTATAGCGTTCAGCAGATCGCTGCGTTTTATTGTATGAATAGGCTTATAAGCCTATTCGTCGCCGTATCTCCTACACTCGGAGAGAGAGATGTCCTTCCTGGAGACGGAGTTGGCGTCCTTGACGGCACGGACTGGCGGGCGTTGACTCAGAGAGTTTTCGGGACGAGATACCTGTCCACGCCAAGCGCCCCCCCCCCCCCCTCCCTTACTTCCTTTCCCGCCCCCCTCGCTCTTTAGAAACTATTTAGACTATCAGATTTCTGGCAGTTTCTAAATAAAAAAAAAATCAAATGTCTGTTCAGTATTCTTCAAGTAATCAGCGCTCTAAGCGAAGAGAAACTTGATCCGATCAGCAAACCACAACAAGGAGACTATTTCTGTTTAAACCAAGTGCTACATTTCTTTTAAACACCTTAAAAAGGAAACTGCTAATACTTTTCCAGAAGTGGTGTTTAAAAGAGTAAACAAATGAGAGAAACACGAATTCACTCAGTCGCAGCAGTTTTTCTTTCTTAACACACGTAAAAACAAGCAAAATGTTTATCAAAAGAATTCGAGGAAGATCATTTATTACAATTGTACCCAAAGATACAACATTTTTGAGAAAACAAAAAGAGGCACCCCAGGTGTTACCTTGCGCAAGCACAAACCCACAATGCAATTCTAACTTATGTTTTGTGCTCTCCATGAAAATATAAACACATATTAACTCACACATTTATATGGATCCGCCAGAGATATCGACCGCTGCTCCCGACATAAAAGAGCTACCCTTTCCGCAAAGGAACTTGATCACTTCGGCCACTTCCTCAGGGCGACCTATTCGCCCCAGAGGAATCCTCGCTTCTGCCTGTGCCCTTCTGTTCTTGTTATCCCTAAAACCTGGCGCCATTAACGGCGTGTCGATTGTGTCCGGCAAAACAACGTTTACTCGAATGCCTTGGGCGGCCAGTTCTTTAGCTGCGACTTTCGTCATTGCTACGACGCCTGCCTTTGTCGCACAGTAGGCAGTGCGTCCTGGTATGCCCAACTTTGCCGCAATGCTCGCAACATTTACGATAGAACCGTCGCGAATATTTCCAGAAGTCATAGCTTGAGCTGCCGCTTGGGTGACAAGAAAGGTGCCCTGAAACAACAACAAAAGAAAAAGAAACGTGTATTATTCGCGTGACGAAGGGGAACAAAACAAACGGCCACGTTGATCTTGTGAGTTATATTATAATTCGCATTATAGAAGCGCATTGCTTCGAAGAAAGTGAAGGACGTAAGCTAATGGTTTAGCTCACAAACGTAAAGCTGCTGTTCGAGGTTTTCGCACTAGCAGCTTAAGCGGACAAGGTTCTGTAGGAGAATAGTGTTAAACTCCTGCGGCCAACTCCTTTGGGTCGAAACTTTGGTTTTCTCTTTGAACTTCTTTCACAGAAAACCCAAGTTTAGGCCCCGAAGGTAAAATGGCAGAGCAACACTTGACCTTCTTTGGAAATTCTCGGTATATTGTCCGTAATTAACTCAAAGGAAGTGCAAACATTAGGTCTCACTGGTGCTAGTCCGGCTCTCATCTAGCATCTTTTGATCTAAATCATCAAACAAGTGTAGAGTTAGGCTTCACTTTTGATTGTTGTTCGGCATACAGAAAGCCGAGACAGAGGCAAAAAAAGGACAAACACAACGTCTGAATAAGGGACACACGCAACGTCTCACCACAATTTTCGCTTCTGAATGTGCGGTTTTTATGAGGCAATTTTGAACCTAAAGTGCCGAAAATGTGTCAGATTAAGGTTTCACAGCTGGTTCTTTGGTTCATACCTGGCACTTAGGGAAGTATCTGGGTAGTCAGAGAAAAAGTACCCAAACGCCAAAAAAGAAATGACTCTGTTACTAACTAACGCTTCAGAACGAAAGTATATTCTACAGAAGTAAGGGCTCTGAGATTGCGAAGCTTGGGCTACATTAGGCTTTCTTTTGCGTGCTACCTGGGACGTCGGCAAATGTACGCTCGGGGGCCTTCAAACAACTGCAATCAATGAAATTGCCGTGATGTCTTCTTTAACCGGCTAAACAACGCCATTGGTGCCAGTGGACCGGTATTTAATTACCTCTTATAATTGAGTATGTTTCTAGTATACCACACTTCCTAAATTCCTAAAGAACCGACCACATGGGACGTTTTCCTTGAACGTGGTCGACGTCAGCGCCCTCTTGGGTGGGGGCATGTCACTCCCTGCCAATATCTGCCCCAGCCATATCTAGGCGTCGACCCGCGCATCACGTTCTTGTGGGTGACATTGAAAGACCCGTGCCGACGCTAACCTGGGCAATGCGTGTGGAGAAGTACGCCATGTGGTTAAGCCTTAAGATGATCTCGTATAAACACTTTGAACTCGAGCCTTGATTAACATCTATGAGGTATTGAGTTATCACCTATGATGCTCGAGATAAAATGCCAAATTTCAAATTTCACCTACTGGGGGTATTCAAGATGAATTCAGGATGGTGATGACTGCACCCGTATCGACGCTTTCGAATGAGACTTTTAAACAATTTCTCTCAACCAAACACTTTTCATGATTGAATTGCACTAAACACGCCATTTTTTTCTACTAAGAATGAGTTTTATCAGCCTAGTTTCATATATATAACCAAGAAACAGCTTTGCAACGCTCGACCGAAAGTTACAACGTTCTACATATATCTTAATGTCGCATGTCAAGTATATCCATGGGCCCATTAAAAAACAAAGAACACGTACACAATGAACTATGCAGACGTGGCTCTACAGGTGAGTTGGCACACGATTATAACTAGGGTTCGGATTTTTCGGTTTAAACCGATAAAAACCGAAAAAACTACGCCAAGTCCAGTTTCGAAAATTCGGTTTTATCCGAAAAAGGTCAGTTTTTAGGTTCGGCATTTCCAATTTAAACCGATAAATACCAATAACAGTACGCCGAATTCATTTTCTAAAATTCAGTTTTAACCGGAAAAGGCCACTTTGACCTTCTAGTCGTACCGCAGAGCCGTGGCGAAAAAGTGGAACGGCAGTGTGTATCGAAACGTGTCCGAATTACACGGGTGCCATCACGACGTTTTGGTTGAATGTGCGGATCATCGATCGAAACTTAAAGTCCGAAATGCCCCATGACTTCGCCATGTTCGAGCGTGTTTTCAAACTCGCTGTAAGGAAGACTGTCTTGATGCAAGCTCTGCATGTTGCGTTGTGCTTCAAAACGTCGCACCGTGTCTCTTTTGGCGGTCACATTTGGTTGATTGACCGATTTTGGCTCGGGCAGCGCTTCATCGATCTCCTCAGCCTGCCAGTGTCCAGTGTTAGCGTTGAGAGGGCACTCTGGAAGCTCAGTGTCATATTAACAGGAAAGAAAGAGTGCGGATCGACGAGGAGAACCTGGGAAAGTACATGTGTGTGTGTATTATAACAAGATCACGGAGAATCCTGATATACAGAAGGTGAAGTTCCATGATTTTGGGCATAGGCTTCATATGTGACTTGTTTTTACTTCTGTGTGTTTTTCTTGTTTCTTTTACAGTTGCACACATTTGCCAAATTAGGTGTACCTTTCTTTTTCAATGTATTTGTGCCGTTATTCTTTGAGTGACCACAAATACCAGAGCCACAAGGATAATCTAATCCGGTATCCGTTGGTGTTTATTTTATATTCACCAAAAAAAGCCGACAAACTTTTGTGAGCATAAATATACGCCGAAAAAAAAAACGAAAATAAATTTTAAAATAAACGCCGAAAAAACTACGCCGAATTTTGAAGAAATAGAAACCGAAAACGCGGAACCCTAATTATAACGTAAAAACAGCGCGCGAAAAACACGGAATTATAAAACTAGTAAATTCAGAGCTTGTCCCATTTAAATATTTCATATCCTTTTATTTCGTGCTCGGTTTTTAACATGGCATACTAGTTTCCGGCTGAGTTAAGCAGTTCAGCTGCTTGAGGAGCATAACCCAAAAAGCGGACGAGTGAGTGCAGTGCTTATCGATAAAATGGTTGCATAAAACATTTTTTTTTGCTTCAGGTATGCCGCATGCCATTATGGTGCGAAGCAGCTTCCGCCCCATTCTTTAGTAGTTTGCCTGTAATCGCTTAGGTATTAGAATAATGGTTGGCGCTGGAAAAACGCTCAAGCATGTAAAGTGACTCCATCGACAACAGAACTTGGCAAACACGAAAGGAGACGCATCTGGGGCTGCAAAAATCATTGCTATACTGCGTTTTTCTTGTCTTCTTTTAGGGTCTCCGCATGCATTTATCGCTGCCATTTTGTCCGGTGGCGGGTCGACCTCTCAATCACTGTTTCGCCACAAGTAAAAATCAAACGTGTATGAATAAGAATCGAGTACCAGCCGGTGCTCTTTTACGTTTCAGACTAGACTGGCCGACGCAGTCAATCACAGTGGGAAATAACTCGAACGAGCTGAAAACCGCTGCCTCGGAGATAGAAACACACACGGAGAAAATCAATCGACATGTCGTTCCACGAGAGTTAAAAACGGAAATACTTCGCGTGAAACCACCTTATACATTGAGTGCCTAAAATAAAAGGATAGCAACGCTCCGCCGTCTGAAAGCATGTACAAACTTTGCCCACTAGCCTCGCCGCCGAAATAGGATTCTCGCAGGTCGTCAAGAGGCAACGGCACTGCAGTTCAGCTGCACTACTACACGTGAACGGCAGGGGCTGTGAACCAAGTGCAGACGAAAGGATTTTCGAAGAATCCTCTGCTGGTTTTCAAGTAAATGTGCATACGCTTGAGCATGCTGGCAAATACCGGCGAGTACAGACTGCCTTTAGCACAGGGGACACATTATGTTTGTAGTTTGCATTAGCTCCAATTCGTTTACATCTTTTTAGCGCAGCTTAATGAAGAATATGTGAACGTTTTTCAGAACAAACGACCATATATTCATTTTATATGCAATAACAGATGCCACCTCTCAATGGCTTTCATATATTCTATGAAGTCGTCATATTTATACAACAAAAATACCACTTTGCAACAAAAAAAACTTCCATCTGGTCACCCCGGCACTCTTTCAAATTCTATAAATTGATTCACTCTGTACTCTTGTCTGAATTATGATACATGCAGAAAGATAGAAACCTCTTAACCTTAAGATTCACTCTAACAACGTCATCGAAGTCATCTTCCGGTGTGTCTGTCAAATAGCGTCCGGCTCCCAGGATGCCTGCGCAGTTTACCACGATGCTTGGGGAGACGCCATACTCGCACGTTACAACTTTGAAAAGTGCCTTCACGGACTGCGAGCATCCAACGTCAACTTGAACGGCAAGGTGCACAGAATGCCCTGCATAACATATATAGGGGATTACGCTCACGTAGAAGTATACACCGTGTATGTGGAAAATCAGTCACCAAATCCAGATCTTTGGGTCAACTATACAAACAGCAGAATCGAATTGCATCAGACAATGTTTTCGTTCAGAAATAAATAAATAATAATAATAATAATAATACATTATGCGAACTTTCTGTGTTAGAACATCAAAGGCAAATTAGGCAGCCACATGAACGATGTTGAACCCCGGCGTAGAAAACTAATCACTCTGTTGGAATGCGCTATGGTTATTTCCAGACTTGGACGTAGTTCAACTACTCTACTCAAACTACTGTAGTTTAACTACGTTTCCGAGTAACTTGGTAACTTTCAATTACAACTTTATATGGGTAATTAGTAGTTTAACTTAACTACATTTTGCAGGTAACTTATGCTCAAAGTACTAACTACTTTCGAAATCTAGTGTTAATTTTGCTCGCCACAAAAGTTTCGGCGGAGAAATAAAAAAGACGCCAGCAGATGAAGTGACAATTCCGAGCAAGGGGCGCCCTCACATTTCGTTCCCACGAACTTATACTCGGCAGCCGTCTTGGGCCAAGGTGGCGACGAGCAGCCGAAACATAAAGGCCCATACGCACATTCGCTTTTGAGCGCGGTGCGTTCCGTAGCGGCAAGCGGACGCGTTGCGTTGCGAAGACCGCTTGCGCCAAGCTTGTACGCACAGTTGCGTTGACACGCAGTCAACCACAGTCAAGATTCAATAAGAACGCGCTATCGTCGCTAGTGGCTCACCAATAGTAAGCGAAATCCAAGGCAACATGGCGGCGCACGGCGACGGCGTCGGTGTTCGATCTTGGGACAATCTCGCCGGCTTCCCCGACGTTTTGTCAAGCTTGAACAATCGCAGCCTTGGAAAATACAGTCCCTACCGCTCCCCAAAACGAAAAAGCAAGCACTGCGACAGGCGAACCGGATACGTCTCGCCGAGTCGGCCGGGTGGGGCGAGCGAACACGTCATCCCCTCTCCTCTTTCGGCTTCTGATTGGTCGAACGCACCCGAACGCACCGCAACGCTTCGGAAAGTTGAGCGAGTCTCTACTCGCTTGTGTCGCGCTACCGAGCGTTGCGGGAAGGCGCGCGTCGCTCTGCAAGCGACCGCGCCTGGCCGCAAGGACTCCGCAACGCACTCAAGCACGTTCAAACGCGAATGTGCGTATGGCCCTTAACACCGGCGCGCACGAACGCAGCAAGAGATGCTTGGCAAGCCTTGGTCGGGTATTGATCTAATCCGGTAATGCACGCAGGCCGTGGACACGCCAGCTTCAACCGTGCAAGACGGGACACTCCGAGGGTTGTTTTCATGTTGTCGGCCTTTAGTGAATTCTGACTCAAGCGATTTGGGGCTTCCACAAGTAGGCGCCACTGGAATGACCTCGCAGCTGGGCGCCTGTTCCCATAGTCGCCTCATCGTCAACGCATACTGCCTTGCAAAAACTCTCCCGCGCACAAACGCAGACACGAATAATCCGTTCATGGGAGCACCTTCCCTCTTCCGAGCACGAGTACGAGCGGCGATGCTTGTTCACGTAATCCTTCGCGTCCTTCCAATACCGTAGTCGCCGGAGGGGATTGCGAGTCACTCTTGGGAGATCCTTTTGTTGGACCCGGCGTCAGCGACGAAGTATACTTCGTTTCATCTTTTGTTAAACCAAAACAATTTTTTTTCTTCAGTAGCGTACCGCAACAAAACGCGCAGTCGTCCAAATGATCTCATCGTCGTGGCGCGAGACTTGAACCCTTGACGGTCAGGTGCACTCGCTCAACGTACTCTCCGAACGTCGTGGGTAGGGAGCCTTCATAATCATGTGCGCTTTGCTAGGGTGATGCCACCCTTTGTAATACCACTCGCCGACAAACCAGCAGCCATTTTGTTCCTCGGCGATAATCCGTGGGGCTTATAACCCTCCCGGAAACAAGCACCTTATCTCAGAAGTTCGGAGCAGCGTTGTGGAACCCACGGAGGGAGGATTAGCATTGAGATTACCGATGGACACAAAGGCCACTTTCCGGCGCGCGGGGAAACAATGAGAGAAACAAAATGGCGGTGGAAGAGGGTGTGGGAAAGGGGAACAGGCAGTTGGCATCACTAGAGTGCCTTCATGTGCGCTTCGCATAGAGTGATGCCAACTGCCTGTTTCCCTTTCCCGCACCCTCTTCCACCGCCATTTTGTTTCTCTCATTGTTTCCCCGTGCGCCGGAAAGTGGCCTTTGTGTCCATCGGTAATCCCATCCGAGGGGGAAAATGCTAATCCTCCCTCCGTCGGTTCCGCAACGCTGCTCCGAACTTCTGAGGTAAGGTGCTTGTTTCGCGGAGGGTTATAAGCCCCACGGATTATCGCCGAGGAACAAAATGGCTGCTGGTTTGTCGGCGAGTGGTATTACAAAGGGTGGCATCACCCTAGCAAAGCGCACATGAAGGCTCCCTAGGCATCACTCTATGCGAAGCGCACATAAAGGCACTCTAGTCGTGGGAATAAAGAAGGTATAGTCATACTCAACTTGCCTTAGAAAAAAAAGTTTTTTTTTCTTTTTTTTTTTTTATAAAAGACCCTCCAGCCGAGGCAGACTTCGCATATTTCGTCATGGACACCGAAGATGCTGACACTCGGTTTCCCGACCCTGCACAGCTTGTTTCTGAAATTCATTCATCCCGCGCGTCGGTGGATCGTCTTTTTAGCTTGGCTGGGGACGTCTTTAGGAGGAAAAGGGGAAAACTCTCCGATAAGGACTTTGAAAGTCAATTGCTTCTGCGAGTGAATAAACTATTTTGGTGAAAACACAAGCCATAAAATGGCTGCATTTATTTTAGGCTCGCAGGGGTTTTCACGGATCAAAACTGCTGTTCATTTCGCTACCACAAAAATATAAAAAGTAACTTCGAAAGTTACTTCAAAGTAACTCGCTACTTTTTACAGTAATTAGTAAGTAGTTTACTCAATTACTAATACAAATGCGTAACTTCTACTCTACTCAATTACTCTTGGCGTCAATACTCAGTAACTTAACTTAACTACCCTTTTTGAGTAATTTCTACATGTCTGGTTATTTCACGCAGTGGAGCTTCCAAGGAATAGTTACTCTTGGTAATTGTTTGGTATACTAATTCATCCATACGTGTGTGTCATTTTAGGTATTCAGTGTCTGTTTTAGTTTTGTTGAAATCTGCTCGGTGGGTAAATTTTTTTTTGGTGGGGCTTTTACTTTTTATTTGTTTAAAACTGTATTTGATCTACTACTTTGTGTCATCTTATGATGCATTTCTGTTTTTCTCCCCTCACTTTTCCGCCATCGTTTCGTCATAAATTTACCGCCTCGTCTGTTTAGGTACATGAGACATAACACTCATTTTCAGGGAAAACACCATTTCTACCTTTATTTTTTTTTGGGTAAGTGAACTATTTAATAACGCATATTTTGTGTTGAATCTAGTGAATGACTACTAAACTTAGCTTTTCAAGTTGTAAAGTCAATTTCGAGTAAACCTTAAGAAAAAACATATTTCTGACGGGGCCTAACCTGTGCAGTCATCAATAGCAAAGTGAGTGCAAGAAACGTATTTTCGCAGATATTAAAATTAAGTCGTTACTGTAGTAAAATACTACCGACATGAACTTACTTGTTTATTAATGCTACAAACACGCGGGGGCCTTTTGATGTTCCATAAAAAAATGTAAAAGCAATCTCGAGCAGCACTAATATCCCCTTCGGGTTGAGAGCCAAGGGTGCATGAAAGCTATGAGACAAAAACAACATTGACGAAACGTTACCAGGCAGAGACTGGGCCGTGCTCCTCGCAGCTTCCAAGTCGATGTCCGCCACAATAACCCGTGCCCCTTCGCTGGCAAATAAATTGCACGTGCACCTCCCGATACCGCTACCACCCCCTGTCACAACTGCGGTGCGGCCGGCAAAAGGCAAAGATGGGCTCATCATTGTGTCAGCGGTGACGTGGCAGCGTGACTGCTCAAAATGCAGTTCCCACGATTGAGCGGGATTTCATGTGTCGAGTGCACCTGTTGTAAATGTGTGTCCCGAAGCTAGGTTGCAGGTGGCTACCGATAGTGAGGTGCCCTCCCGTTGTCATCTGTGGAACTAACCTCTTTCCTCATGACCCGGATTCAGCAAAAAAACAGCCTTGTTCTAGATGTTCACGTCAAGTGGCATATGCGCACCTTAACCGATATATAAAAAGCGGGTCTACCTTATAGTACCACAGGAAACGAAAATAGTGGCCACTCGAGCCCAATCGCGGCCCAGGAGCTAGGGACTACGACGACCGTTCAGTGGCATTGCAATCATATTTTCACCTTTGACAAATAACTCTACTCTATAACCTAACATTTCAAAATTAATAGCATCTCCAAATACTTTAAAATAAAAATCAATTTTAACAGCTGCGGCTTTGGCTGCGGCTTACTGGGTGGCTTTGGGGCCGTCGACTCGGCAGACGGTGGCTTTCCGGTCACGCCGCGCGAAAGGTCGTATGGCTGCGTTTGAGTGGCTCGTGCGGGATTTTCGAAAAATTCTTCCGTTGTTTGAAAGGTGAGTCGTTTTACTGAAACCGTATTTTGCTTGCTTTTGGCTATAGTTGGACGCAGGGGATAAAGCGCGACCTAATTGCTCTGGATGAAGCCTCGGCAGTTTCACCTGCGCGCGTGCACTCGTGCAGCGAGAGCGCTAGTCAAGGCACTCAAGGCATGCTCATTTTCATATTTCATGTGCATTGCTTTCAATGCTGGTAGCGCGAGCACGTGGCTTTCGAGCTAGCAGCTTTGACAGCGTTGTACTTGGAGCCAGGTATGAAGCAGGGTACAGGTAGCCTTGATGCGCTTTTTGCTTAGCGCGAGGCAACCCTAAGCAAAGCGCGCTCACGAGGAAAATACAAAAAAAAATGGGGTGTAACAATACCGAGAAGGCTTTTCTTTATCACCACTCTTTATCGTCGCTTCAACAATTTCGGTTTCCAAATTATGAAATGAAGGCAGTAAATTCGCGTAATCTCAAATTGACTTGTGATATTTTTGTTTCCCAGCTGATGCCGCCAAGATGTTTGGCTACGGCAGCTACTGTTGCGTAGCCTGGTGCGGAAACAATGGAAGAACGCGCAAGATGCCAGGAAAAAAGTTCTTCCGAGTTTCACGAAATGACAGGCTGCCCTTCATTTTAGCAACGAATTGGATGCATAGTTCTAATGAAACCCGGAGAGAAGGCTGAATGTTTAAGCAAAACTCATTTCAATTCTTAAATGCGCTTTATTTCTGTTAGTACTGAATTTAGTTTTAAAACATCGAATCTCATGATAACCGGACTGTGGTGGACTTGCTTCCCAGCTCTACAAGACAGACTGAATTACAACTTCGTTGCTACGTGTTGAATTAACATGACATGTAAGGGAAGCACAACTGCGTGTTGTTTTTTTTTTTTGTTGAGACTGCAAGATTTTTAATGTTTACATAAATGAGCAAGGCACTAAAACTAGCTGATGCCCATTGTTAGCACCGGTATAAAACTACCGAACCCCTAAAAAAAGTAACACTTCATTTTATAGCATACACACCTTTTAACAAGTCTGTAAAATAGTGTATGTGTGCAGTCAATAAATAATTATAACCTTCTCAAGCACTATTAGCTCGCTAATCACCTCCATGTGAAATCACAATATGCAAACCATTTTGGTCAAATATTTTTTTTTTGAACAATGAAACAGAATAAAAAATAATGAGCTTCACTACATCTTGCACGTCAAAGGCGTGGCTGAAGTGTGCCAAAACAGGGGACCTTCTGCAAACATCGTCCAGAGAGCTACGTGCGAAGTATTTCTTCTGCAGCACTCACTTCACAGCACGTGACTTCATGAACCCTGAGCGAACAAAGCTAATGAAAACCGCTCTGCCTTCAGTTCGTCCATCGACATATTCAGATACGAAGAGAGCTAAAGGTAAAGATTTATTTAACTATACATATACGAGAAGTATATTATTTGCGCAAAACTTTATTTAAACACAATGCTGCTTCTACGGCTTCACAACCTAACTTTTGATAGACGAATTTCTTCCAGACTCCATGAAAGGGGCAGCCCCACCGAGCTGCGCAGACCTCATGGAGGCTACAGCCCCATCATTCAGTGCAGCCTCCAGCTTCCGGCCCAAAGAACCCTCAACCGCTGTTCATGGTGAGGAAGGACCTGTGTTGGAAACAACAGCCTGCGTCTAATAGACAAACTCTTTAAGACTCCATGGAAGTGACAGCCCCGCCGTGCGGCGCAGACCCCATGGAGGCTACAGCCCCATCGTGCAGTTCGCCCTTGGAGTTCCGACCGGTGACACCGTCCACATGGTCCTCCTCTGAACCAGTTGGAGCTTGTTAGTGTCTCATTTCTTTTGCTCACCTGTGTGCCCATATGCTGCCATATGCTACGACTCATATAACTAAAATTCATGTGTGTCAAGGTGGATATTAGTTTGTCTACTTCTCCGGTGATGAAATGTTAATGCAAAACCTGTAATATACCTTATGTACTGTATTGTCAAGGCATATGGTGTAAATTTGTAAGTTTAGCCAACATAGCGTCACACGCCCAGTTTTCCATGATTTCTAATTGTCTGAAGTTTAGGGTCATATTATCTACTTGCAGATTATGTCACTGTAAGGTAATGTTGGCTATGCTGGTTGTAAGGAGAACTGCTTACCTGCTCTGATTTCGTTATTTCTATTTTTTACCCATTTCATGTACTTCTACGCCTCCTCTGCGCAGTTTTTCATCGAGACCGAAGGACATCATAAGGTGTCTCCAGACCAAGGTTTCAAAGTAACGGAAGACCATCGCAAGGCTACGTAAGTAAGAGAAGAATATGCCTCGAACAGGGCTTCGGAAGCTCTCGACATCATTCACCCTCATGTGACAGACGAGCTATTTCACCTACTGTCAGGCCATGTCAAATTAAGATCCAAGTGCAAGGGAAAACGATTCCCGTTATGGTTGAAGAAGTTTTCTCTTCATCTCAACTTCCATGGGCCGCGGGCCATCCCGTTTTTTTCTCTCCCTATCTCACTCTTCCTAGTCAGCACACACTAAGAAGATGGCTGTCGGATGTCAATATGACACCTGGAACTATACCAGGCATTATGTCATTCGTCTTTACAAAAACACAGTCTTGGAGTAAGCGCGATCGCGTCTGCACTATCATCTTCAACGAGATTGTGTTTTAAAAAAAACTTGTCATATGAAGTGTCACAAGATGTTCATGGATTTACGGATGATGGCTGCGAACGATCCTCAACGATTGCCGACAGAGCCCTGGTTATTCTTCTCTCCGGAGTTTACGGGAGATGGGTTCAACCTGCCGCCTATACGATTGGGCACACGTCTACGCCCTCTACCGTAATCCGAACATGTTGGTCTCGCTCACTGAGCAGTTGCAAGACATTGGAATTACAGTTAAAGCTGTAATTTGTGACCAAGCGGCTTCCAGTGTAAGCCTGATGTGTCTGTGGCGCAGCCCTTTCTTTTTTTTTTTGTAAAAAAGCTAACGCGTTTATTTCATTTACGACGTGCCTCATTTAGTGAAGACAACTCGGAACAACCTTCAAGCCTACAGGCTTCACATCGAAAAGGAGATTGTGGACTGGACAGGCTTTGTGAAACTGTACCACTCCACTCATAAGATGCGACTACGGTTGGCGCCAAAGGTAACCGAAAGACATATTTACCAGAAACCTTTCAGTAATATGAAGGCGGGCGACCCAGGTATTGAGTGCTTCAGTGTACGTCGCGCTTTTAGCTCTTATCTATGCGAAACAGCTACCTGAAGCAACCATGTCAACTGCTTATTTTTGTGATTGGATAGACAAGCCATTTGATTGTTTGAATAGCTCCAGTCCATAAAAAAACGGAGGAAACGTTGCGGCATGCTATTTGAAAAGGGCAGCCGTATCTAGTTGAATTTCTCAAACAACAGCTTCCATGGATCGCGTCTTGGAAGTTCGAAGCCAAGCATCAGCCACACACTATCATTGGGTGGCAAATTACTATCAAAGCCGTCTTGCTGCTATGGAAAGATGTTTTCCAGAATCACTACTTTGAGTTTCTCCTCACGCGTCGACTTCAACAAGACCCACTTGAACATATGTTTGGACAAATAAGACAAAAGCAGGTATGCAACTTGAATCCCAATCTGCCTCAGTTCATATCTGTGCTGAAACACATTGGGATTCAGAAGCTTTTTACACTGTCACCGAAGGGAAATGTTAAGAGGATGAGACGGGCCTCCTCCGCCAGTTGTCGCCGTTTTCACTTAGTAGCGAGTCACTCGTGGATGTTGTGCAACATGTCCCACAGGACGACATTCCATCTTTGGACAACATCACTGAGTTGGCAGCCCATGGGGAGTCCCGTGTTATTGACAACTGTGTCACTTATGTTGCTGGCTTCCTTGTTAAAATGTTTACTGAGAAGGCTGCAGAAGGTTGTCGTTGTCCTTACTTGCTTAGGGATGAGCCCAGTAACCTTGATGAACATCATCAGTTTCTTATGATGATTAAAGCGTACCACGTCCAAGGCAAGCTCTTCGACAACTTGAATGTGCCATCAAGCGCAGCTTTCACACTTGTTTAGCAGTTCGAGTCACACTTTCTTTCTATTATTGAAAGTGTAGCGCACCTCCAAAGTGTTTGTGAGGCATTGTACATAACTCTCTCACGTGTTGGTGATTTTAATTTCTGCAATCCAGAGTTTCGAGCACGGTTTTTAAAAATGTTTTGCAGGATTCGATTGTGCTGGCCTGTCCGTTTCGTAAATAGAAGCTTGGATAAAGTTCGCTTTGATTCTCGCGTCTCTGGTGTACAGCTTGAAACGTTCAGTGGGTGTAACTTCATTCCGGAGATGTGTTTCAGCCTTCATGTTGCACTTCACAAGATATCTGCAAGAGTAAAATTATATTTATTGGGATTTTATTGGGCCGTGCAGACTGCACACTAGGCATTTATTGGGATTATTTGAAGCAAGTATGTTGCACTCTACTGGTCTATTGTAGTGACTGATGTTTTAGATGGTCATGTCAGTTTTTTCCTATTATGGTCATGTAAAATGGGTAAGTTTCCATTTTGATCT